AACCATTTGAAGCATACAGTGAACTCTCGATTCTGCGAATCCCCATCCACCTAATCCTTAAATACTATCTGTTATGTATAATTTTTATTAAAAAACAGAGTCGGTCTTGCTTTATTTATAATCCATACTCAAAAAATCAGAAAAGATTCTACGTCAATTTTTACAAATTCCTTATTGAACATTTGAAAAAGTAGATACTCATTCAATATGTTTTATGTTTAAATTTAAATTTTTCGATATATCGGATTATCAACCAATAATGTTACGCTTATTTTTCATAAACCCACACGGTAAGGATCAGAGATGTGATCTATTTGAAATACTTGCATTTAAAATAAAAAAAATACCTATTTTTATCTTGCATTTAAATACTTTTTGGGAAGAAAGGCATTTTGTATTTTATTTCCAAACCTATTTTCTATTGTTTATCTACGGGACAAAGAGACATTCCATGTATGCCTTCTAATTCTTTAACTGAAGAGAGCTCAAAAAATTCTAATCTCCTTGGAAATGGATAATCTACAATATTGGATCGATATTGCTTTCCGGGTTCAATTAATATTTGCATTTTGTATTTAAATGCCTTTAAAAAACCATTTTGCACACCGGTTACGATTTGTATTTCAATTTCTTGCAAAGATTATGTAGACCTTTAATTTTTTGCCTACATGTTCGCGTTAAGTTGATGCGTGCAAGTGAAGAAATTGATGCCCGTATCATTACCACGAAAATAAGCATTATTATGGATCAATAGGTTGTTTTATTACTGCCGAAAATAGAATGCGATCGTGATCGTTAAAATTTTGCCATAAACAACACGTCAACGATCAGGAGCAATAACCGTGCAAGTTCGAAGATACAAAGCCGGAAGATATAGCGAATCGGATCGGGAGTAACACGCTACTTTTGTTTTGCGAATGAGAAGTTAAATACCAGCAGGCTACAAAACAAAATAAAACGCCTTGATAGCGAAACATCAAATGAGCATGCCATGACATGACACACATTTTAGAGAAGTCGCTGTAGCGAAGACAGCACCATTATACGTATTATATGTTGTATGGTCGCATTCTGATATTTTCATTTTCCAACTAGGTGCTGTGCGGTTCGCTGCGGACTCCACTTCGAGTCCACTTCCATACTAAATACATCAGTGACTATTATTCTATGTATTACATTACATTACCGTTCTTTCATTAAGACAGGCAGTAGTTTATTGAATGAGCAAACGCTGCGACCGCGAAAGCTCTCTCCCATGTGCGTACGTAAGCTTGTACGTATTATTTTGTATATCATGGTGAAAAGCTGCCTGTTGTTAAATTATTAACTAGCGATAAGGTACCTGTAGATAATGATGGAATTGAGACAATGCGTGAAATTTTTGTTGACTATCGTTGTGGTGTTTGGTGTTAGTGTCACGTGTTTGGATTTCAAGTATCATACGCACGAAGAACTGACCAACTATTTGAAAAACTACACAAAAAGTCACAAGAACTTTTTCAGTAGATTATATTCAGTTGGAAGATCCATAAATGGTACGTATTGTTTATAAATTTCTTAGTATATTATAATCGCCGATACTACGACATTTGACCCGACATAGTTTCACAACAGACACTTTAAAGGATTCGCATGTTTTCGTACTTAAATGAGTATCTAAAATTTTTCAAAGTATTTACAAAACATTGAAAAATTAGATAAGAACTTATTACAAATGCGAGTAGTTATATGTAGAAAAACAGTTGAATGTATACTATGACCAGAAAATAGACGTTTAAAATAACACTGTTGATGTTAACATATAGTGTTTTATTACTTCCAAGACCCATATTTTCGGAAATAAAACCACAATCATCGTATTATTGCTTAAACAATATCAATAAAAAATATGTAGGTTAAATAAATAAAACCTTGAAACAACTTTCACTGCCTGCTATTGCTGATACGAAGGTAGATACTTACCTATATCAATTTTTAAATTTGCAAACAGGTGTGATACTTAATATTTTTTTAAATATCCATACCTAAAATGCGACGTTTCGCTGGCAGCTGTGGTTGGTATCCTCAGAGAGGGTAGCAAGGATATAAAGACGTAATGTCCTTCACAGCGGTTGTACTGACAATAATAATACCAACATCAGTCATTCCTATATTGGTGTTCTCGCCGAAGGACCGTAGAAGGACCACAGTCACTACAGGACGAGAATCAGTCTTAGACCATGGCTATCAAAGCCAACCGTGTGAAAACCCTTCGCAAGTAATGATAACGTTAAATAAAATTTAATACCTCTACCTATCAATATGCACTAATGATTTTTATCTTACGAAATAAACAAAGTTTTGAGGAAAACGAATATATGAAAACGTAATTATACATGAACATATTTAGATGCATTATAAATTACGATACATATAAATCGGTACCTATGATAATTTTAGACGTTATTCAACCAATCCACCTACAGGTCAAAGATATTGGAACATGTGACCAGGTATTGTGTACATAGATTACGTAATTTCTTTGGTTCGCATAGTAGCTACACAAATATTTAGGTATAACAACAAAACAGAACGGTAGATATTTCTTCACTATTGTTATTAAAAATTACAAAAGGTCATCATCTCGTTATAACGGAAGCAGTGTTACTCATTTTTAGAACTAAGTGAGAACAAAAATGTTCTAACGTTTTACGACCTAATGCAAAAAATTCGAAATAAGTAAAAAAAAACGCAATTTTATGTNTTCTTGCCAAACTATCGAAGTCAAAGTTGCGATAACAAATTAAAAATCGTATTGTTAATTAATTTCGTTGTGTTTCTGGGCGTTATGATGTGTTTTCATATATGCAACGATGGAGTTGATGTGTCTTACATTACATACTATAACAGTATATATGCCTTAAATAAAACACAAGAATGTTTAAACAATAATATAATAAAATAAAACAACTCGACAATTGTTTCGACCTATTCGATCATTTTTATACCAGTTACATATTTCTGTAATCTTGAAAATGACCGAATAGATCGAAGCAATCGTTGAGTTGTTTTATTTGGTATATTATTGCTGAAACATTTTTGTGTTTTATTTGAATATTAAAGAATCTCGAAGTACGAAGAAAAAGTGTTAACAGAAAACATGATATCAAAAGAATGTATAAAAATTAAAGATTATATATGAATTATTCAAAACATAGAAACGAAAATCACAAGGAAAAAATGGAAAAGGGAAAGAAAACGTTTTTTTAATGTAAAGAGGATGGGCAATCAAGTACTGCAGGTGGAAACTCGAAAAAGATACAAGTGTATGGAAAGAGGTTGAAAAATGAGAAGCTTAAAATTTGCACAAAAATACAGGACAATATGGAAAGAACGGGAGGAAAAGCCACACTAATATTTAAAAGACGAAAGAGCTAAGAGAAAACACGAATTAATTTTAATAGCAAGATTTAGACTGGGAAGTAAGAATAGGACGGCAAGGTCCCAGTAAGGTTGTGTAAATAAGAACTAAATCTGCTTGAACATATTTTTTTGAGAGACCTGGAATAACAAAGAATGGTGAAAAGAAAGGGGGCGAAATTCAAATGGATGGAAAGGATGATTTAAAAAGGATGAGGGAAATTTTATGTCTTATGGAGGAGGAAAATATCAGAAAAGCAAGACAGCTAAAAATATTTAGTTTGCGAAATTCATGTGTGGATATAGAGTAAATGTAAATGCATCTTGTACATACAANCTCACCGTCCATGTTTCGCACCCGTGCAGCGCCGCGCTCCAAACATACACCTTTAACAATCTTTTTTGAATTTCTAAATTAACTGTTCGCAAGCATAGAAGCGACTTCTTTTTATTAAAGGCGACTCGACCCTGCACTATCCTCTGCTTTATATCCCTACTACTCCTTCCGTCCTGACTTATCTGACTTCCTAGATACATAAAATCAGTCACTTCTTCTAATTTTTTGTCTCCTATCTTTATATTCGCTCTTTCCCTACTTTTTCTTCCCTTGCAAACTAGTATTTTTGTTTTACTTTTATATATTTTCATACAATACTCGAAATATGGTTTGAAAAATTTTTCAATCCGTAGAATCAGATTCACCAATATATAATAGGAGTTCCTATTTATAAAATCAAGTTGGGCATCTCAGGACCTCAACAGGGACCTGGACGCGGTGCCCGCCTACAGAAACAGATCCCCTTAGAATTCGATAACCTTTGTTAAGGTCTTTTATCGATTTGATATTTCCCTCGTTAGATATTAGGCAAAAGCACTTTTATGGGACTCGGGTAATACCCGGATTAAAGAATATTTGGACGTATTTTTTCCGTATAGAATCGGATTTGGCAAGGTACGGAACCTTGATTGATGTTTGTGTTTCTAACATATTATTAAAACTGCCGTATTATTTTTCAGTTTTAATTTTACTGTAAGTACAAAATAAGTCGACTATATAGACGAAGTGGTTAGATATACATAGATATATTTAGGTTTTTCATGTACAATTTGAAGTATTTTAGAATTTCGGCACTTCTTTTAAAGGAGTAACTGAAAAACACGATTCATTGCGACTCCTATTCGTCACAGGGTAATTTAAAAACCATTTAATGCGAAAATGAAAACGAAATCACAAGTGTTTTTCCATTTTTTTAAGATTTCCTATGACTTTCAAAAGATGGTCGTTCTTTTCTTGCAGTTTTTCAATCAATACCTCGTTTGCTTTTACTTGATTAGTCATATCAGTTAAAGGATTTCCTGAAATGCGTGAGAATAATGGGGAAGTGCATTTCCGTTTATACCAATAACGTTAGCCGCAACATTTTTAAGCAGAAAAGCATCAAAGTACGAAATAACTTTAAATAAAGTTCATAACATATAAAAAAAATAATATTTTGACCTCTTACCTTAACTCCTCTGATGGTATTGATGTTATTCCAATAAAATAAAAAAGGTATAAAATCGGAAATCAAATCATTGTTGATAAGATTGACTTTAATTATCAAAGATTCAACTTCAACCTCGAAAAGTAGAATTGCATGGGTGATTTTACGATTTATGTACAGTAATTCCCATGATAAAAATAGGCAGCGATTGATGCATATTATACCTACTTCCAAGCTGGATACTTTTTACGATTAAGCATCAACGTTTAAATTAATTTAACCTAATTATCATCCTACAGACAGGAAAATTATAATACTGACAATTTCCCGTACTATAATACAACCTAGTTAAATAATAATCCTTCAGGCGCATAAAATAATTCCTGATTCAATGTAAATAGAAAGCGCACTCTTTCCATTATCGTCAATAAGACAAACCTTTCTCCTCCTCGGAGAATATTTAGAATTATAAGCGCATGCAGGGTAAATTGATAAAAGACTTACCCTCAATTTTTATGCCTACGTTAATGCTGTCCCCTCTATCCACGCTGTCTTCTTGATGCTTCTTGATGGAAAGTTTGGCAGCAATTACTTCCTGAAATTAAGAACTATAATAAAAAAACGAACAAAAAATTAAATAAACTTCTACAGGTAACAGTCCTTATTTTCTAGACGCAAAAATACAGAAATTTCAACTTGTACATCAAAATCTCAAACTATCATAACACATAAAATCGAAATTTACACTCAACTCGAGTTTCATGTCGAAATTTCGAGTTGTAAGTATACTTTCGAGTTATAAGTTATGATTTCGAATTATATGTTGAAATTTAAAAAAAAATATGTTTGGCTCTTCTACGTCTTCCTGATTATTGGACAAATAGATTTAAGTAATTATTCACTTTTACTTTTTTCCAAACTGTAATTAAAAATCACTTCTGATGAAGGCACAGTGCGTGCGAAACAATTGTGAAATTAGATACAATAAAATTTATGAAAATGACTTCAAAAGGACTCGATAGATCCTTATAGAAAATAACCCACTGACAAGCTCTTTGAACCCTTGGATTCTGATAGTTCTCGACGTGTAGATCAAGTCTAATGGGCTCTAATTCGTAAAAACTCGTCGTTTTCAGACAGACAAACTACCAGAATCCAAAGATTCAATGAATTCAACAGAGGGCTGTTTTCCCTAAGGTCCTTTATATTTCGTAGCTACAATACCTTTAATTTATGTAAAATGGTATTGTATCGCTGTATAGTATTTTTATACTCAAAAGTGCTTTTGGTTAATAAGTCATTCAATGCTTGATAATCCATGTCGACCTTGTTCAAATGAGTCTTAACTTCGACAACAGATGCATGAGTATTAGAGATATCTCTTTTCAAGTTTTGATTTTCACTATTCTCGTCTAAAAATCTCTTTTTCCACATATCTTTCTCCGCGTATAAAGATTTCGTTGTAACTCGAGCATCTTCTAACTCTTTTTCTAATTGATTCTTTCTTGTTTCAAGAATTTGATAGTTTTCTTGAACTTTAGAGATAAGCGTTTCTGCACTGGTTAGTTTTTCCGATTCCGACCTCAAACATTTTTCCAACTGATGATTTCTAAAGTGCAAATCGTTATATCTCTGATACAATTTGTCGTACCTCTGTTTATCTTAAATACACAGAATCTGATTACTAATTGTATCAAAAAAATACTACAAACGGCACAGTGAACGCCATCTGTAGCACGATGCTATGACAGCAGGTAAAAGTTGATCTGTGTTCTGTCGGAGCTGTCTGGGATGCGCTGATGAGATCCAAAAAGATCGAAATCGCGATCCGCGTCTGGCAGTTTCGACAGAATACACACCACTTCGAATTATTTTATTCTACTAATTGTATGTCAATGAATAAAAAATATGTTTATCAGAAAACCTTTTTGTGCATTTTCACAATATTCTGCACACGTAATTTCAAGTCTTTTATGTTCCCTTCCTAAGGATGTGCTTTCAAACTCTTTATTTTCCAATTCTGATGATAGATTATGTATTTGCAACTTAAGTGAATCATTTTCTTCCCAAATATTTTCCACGCTCTTTTCTATCTCTTTCAGAAATCTGTCCACGCACGAATGTTGAGTTAAATTGTAAATATTTTTACGAATATTCTCCCTACAACATCCCTTCTTAATGTGTATACAGGGGAATGCGAAAAAATTGACAAATCACTCACTTTTCTTGGGTTATTCCGGGAATGTCGAAACGTTTTTCAAAAAGCTCAACGATTTTCTTCACAAAATGATTAACGTTCGTGCAGGTGTAACAAGCATCAAAAGATGATATATCAGTTTGCAGATTTTTTGTATTAGTTTGTGACATTTGACTATCTGGACGTACGTTATAGATATTCTAAAAAACAACAGCTGCCAAAAAAAACTATTGCATGCATTGTGGTAATGAAACTTTCAAGAAATTTGTTAACTTATTTTATCGCAAAACTGACATGTGCACTAATAAAGAGGGCAGTCTGAACTTTAGTTAGTGACAATGATTAGGGACAAGAATTATTATTGAATTTCAACATAAGATACCTGATAGGTCATTATTCTATTTTACAATATTTGAAAAAACCCTGAAGAACGGTCGTTTATTGGCAGTTTTATTCCCTGAACCGCCACTTTACATAATTCAGATAATATTCTTAGTATACCTTTATTATCGGTTTAATTTCGGTTAATTGCTGCCACAGTAGTTTTACTGTGGTTCCTAATGTCAAGTTTTTTGGTCTAATTACGTATTTACATTTTACAAGAGGATCTTTGTCAAAATATTCGGTCTCCACGAATCTTAGCAAACAGTTCAGAAATAGATAAATCCTGAAAATCAATATTTTCGATTGAACTTCAAAAACAAAAAACTGAAATATTTAGACTGTCTTTAGTAATCAGCGGCAAATTTTCACCTATCTATAATTAGTTCCAGAGTAGACAAATATCTTTCGTGATTTCTATTCTTGTCTTTAGGCAAGTTTAATATTTCATTTTCGTCTTTACAACTTAAGAACCATGTAGAATTTTCGGAGTTGTCCTCTAAATATGTGCCGATGTTGTCATTGATTTCGTTAATTTTTCGTATATCTTGTGAGAGTGATTTCAATAGATCCTCGTTTATGGCATTCATTTTGTAATTGAGGGAAATTCAAGTGACATCTCTCAAAATTATTGTTAATGGAAGAGTGACGTAATGTCAATTTACTGTCAGACTTACATAGATTTACTATTTTTATTACGTATACGGAATTGAAACATTCGGAATGTGTAAAAGATAGAACCCAAAATAAACAACTCTTATCTCAAAACTTTGTTTGACTTTACACGCATAAGGCTACATAATATAACGGGGTAATGCCCCATTAATACATATCAACGATTTTTTATACAATATAAAAGTTATAACAATACCACATTACCCATTATTATTTTCCTACTTTTATTGTGTAAAACATTGTGTCTTATGTGTGATTAAAATGTTTATTCTTGTTTATTACAATTAGCACGATATACTGCGTAAATTTTTGTTGTGGTCGCTGTAATAATCCAAAACATCCGTTATTGCGGTTTAGAACGATGTGACTTAGATTTAAAATAGAATGCACATCATTTAAAAATATCTGGTGGCCACTAGGCAACATATAATGAATGCGCTATTATTTTGAGCGCCCATCGCTCTTACCAATTTTACCATCATCACAAGAAAAGTAAATAGATAAGATAAGCAAGATTAGCCCGACATTTCTGGAAAAAGTTGTGCTCAATTATACTCTAATATTTAATATAATTTTTTCAAAAATAAGTCATGTTTGGGTTAAGTTAATTTTCGTTACGATCAGAGATGTGATCTATTTGAAATACTTGCATTTAAAATAAAAAA